CTGTCTCAAAAATAAATAAACGTTAAAAATAAAAATTAAAAAAATAAAAATAAAAAGAGATTCCATTTTTAAAAGAAAAGGTTTTCCTGCACTGGGGGAATGACAAGGTCAAGAAATGTCAGAGTCCAGCAAGGACCGAAGTTACATCTACCGTAGGCCACTCCCTACCCTACCTCCAACAGCAAAGTCACCTCCTTACCAATCCTCTTACCTGACCTGACCAAACCCCAGCCGCTCTGGCCCCTTAAGCTTTCCCAGATGCCAAGCCTACCTCTCTGGGTTCCCACTCCCTTTCGAGTCATGTGATGCCCAGCCCTGATGGGAGGTTTACTCAAAGACGCAGCTTTAAGAACCAAATGGGAAAGTTACCTGAAACTGCGCTGGCTGAGGGCTCTGCCTGCACGGGTGAAGGGGCACCAGAGCCCAGCAAAGAAAGCCATGGCAAATCCTGCAGGAAAAGAGGGGGAAAGGGGTTATTTCTAAGTCAGTGTCCTTACTCAGAGCCAACCTGCTGGGGACTCGTGTGGGAGGTGGTACTTCTAGCATAAGATCATTAGTCACTAAATATAAATCTTAGTGGTTAAAAGATACACAGATGATTAGGTGGAACTCTAGCTCCAGTTTTGCTGATTCATATTCTCACTGGGGTCAGAGAGCTGGCACGGCCCACAGCAGTTCTTGCTATAATACAATAGCACAGAGGATGCCTTCCTGGTTACAGACTTCCATCGGCAGGAAGAAAGCAGGAATCCTCTGGTACACAACCAGCCAGTGACCCCTTCCCAAGTCCTCCACAGAGGAGAGCCTACACACAAGTGCCTCTGACACTCCTGTGTCTCCTGAAACCAGAACTTTTACTCCCTGAAAGCAGACTACCTGACCAACTGCCAGCTTGTCTTGTCACCATATCACCTTTCCCCAGATATAAAAGCCAGAACACCTGGATAGCTCAAGGCTAGTCAAGTAGAGCCAAAGGATGCCCTCGCCACGTCACCGACCAAAGCCTCTATCTGGGTCAGTCTCCCAAACAATATAACACAGAAAAATTACCTGCCCCACTCTACAGCTGAAAGCCGTGTTTGGGACAACAAGGTGGAGACAGAAGAACAAACACCAACCCCAGACCGACTCCTCCAACTTGCAGAACCCCAACCCCGCAGCTCCCTAGCCCCAACAAATATGGCAACCCCAGCTGCCTGCAAGACCTGGGCATCCGTTAGGGGTACGTTTAAGAAAATCCTTTGGCCAGCCAGCAATTCTAGCTGCAAAACATGCCTGTTCTTCTATCCAAATATTTGGCTATAGAGGGCCTCATCGAGAACTTTCTGCTGAGAAAGGCCTCTACCACTGGAGTATTTACACACAGCCTTCGCTCCTGTAACTTCAAAGCACCTCAGATAAGATTTTATTTAACAAGGGTGGGAGCGGGAGTCACTATTTACTTCCACAGAAACATCTAGACACTCCAGAAATGCTTATTAACTACAATTTAGCCTCAAATTATAAGCTTATTCTCCAGTGTTTTCCTTAAGACAACCCAGGAAGCATTGGCCAAAATGTAGTTATGATCAGAAAATTAAATGCAAAGAAAGGCAGCTAACTTCTAGAACTACTAACGTCTGACATACCGAATCAAAGACAATCAGAAGAGGCCAGCTTTACCTTTATAGCTAGGTGACCCTGGACAAGGAA